CCCCAAAACCCCAAAACCCCAAAACCCCAAAACCCCTAAACTTGATTAAATTATTGAATTAATTTATTAATGGCCACAAGATATTATCACTACATTGGAGGCTTCATTGGAGGAGTAGCTCTCAGCAGTTCCATTATGTGCTATATAGGTAACTCCCGGCACTTTTACCATGCTAAAATATTATCTGATCATGCTAATTTATTTATATATAGATGATATTGTGTACGTTCCTATCAGACGTACTTTTATCAAGCCAATTTACTCTTATTATTACGTAAATTACGGCACAAGTAACTTACCTGAAGAGAATAAGTCAAAAATGGGAGTCTCAGATGTCATAACCGAGATCTCCAATAAAGGGGGAAGCTATCTTTCTGAGCTCAGGCCTAGAGATGTCACTGGAGATAGGAATACATTTGTGTTCAAAGGTAAGTATCAAAACCTTCGGGAATGTCTTTGCAATTTGTAAACTATAACTTTTAATAGAGAATGACTTCAAAACAAGAGAGCAACACTACTTTGATTACATTGCTCAGAGAAGAATGGAGCAGGGAGATAGTTTTGAGAAGCCAGATTCTACCCAGCAGCATGATAAATACTCAAATGAGGATTACAAATCCTTGGCCTTTATAACTCCTCAAGATTTGATGGACAAGTACGTGACTAATAGCCAGGATACTGCTCAAGAATATAACGAAGTTTTCAACTCATTTGATATGATTAAAATTGTTCAAAAGAAAGAGCGAAAAGATCCCAACACAGAAGCTCTCAAGGAAAGACTTGAAAAAATCAGAAAGAAAAATGAGTTCGGAAGTGAACTTCTAGAGCAAAGTGAGAAATACAAAGTTCCTGATGAAAGAGAGGAGGCAAGAAAGAGTCTAGCAGAAGCAAAGAAGTTGACACAAATTGCCATGGCCGATAGGGAAAACATTACTTCTGAAGATGTTGACCAGATCCTTAGTTCTTACCAAGGAAAGTATTCAGTAAGAGAAGTCACTTCAAAAGATAAATCAAATTTGAGGAATTTGAGACAATTGGCTAAAAGTGATAATGTTGCTCTTCCAAAGAAACCTCAGGCTCCATTACAAAAACTCTATGAAGCTTCTATGGAGGCTCAGAAAACATTTGATACCCCTGAGATTGAAGAGAAAGCGTTTTCAGATTCTAAAGAAGTACCTTTCGAATCTAAAGAAGAAGTACCATCTGAATCTCAAGAAGAAGTACTATCTGAATCTCAAGAAGAAGTACTATCTGAACCTAGAGAGGAGGTGTCATCTGAACCTAAAGAGGAGCTGTCTTCTGAGCCTAAAAAAGAAACACCTCTTGAGCCTATTAAAATTGAGACAGAAATCAAATCAGATTCAGTAATCCCAAGCGATGTAGAACAAAAATAGGAGATTTCAATAAACTATTTCCGCTTAGGGGTTTTGGGGTTTTGGGGTTTTGGGGTTTTGGGG